GGACTTTGTTTGGGTCCCTGGGGCCCCCGCGGGCCCCTGCCAGTCTGCATTACCGCTGTGATGGGGGTACCCCCCGCCCCCAGCATCCTCCCCGGTCCCCACCTCTGCCGGTGTTTACAGCTCAGCCTGCCGTGGCGGTAGGCACGATGGGGAGGGGGGAGGGGGGGGGGGGGAAGAAAAACCATCGCGGGGTGGGGCAAGAAAATCCATCGGCAGGAGCTTGTAACAGAAACTCCACGTGCAAATCCAATTAATCTTTTGGTTTTGCTGCTTTTTGCTCCGGGTTATGTACTTCTACCAAACACAGAATCAATTTGGGGCAAGCGTGGTCAGGTTTCTGGTGTGGGAAACGTCTTCTGCTGTTAAAAGGGTGTAACAGGGTGAGGCAGCACCCAGAGAGCGAAGGGGAGCGGGGCCGAGAGCCCCTTAGCCGCGGGACGGGAGCACGACATGGGCACTGCCTGCAGAGGATGGAGGTCGGGGGCTTTTGTGTCCTCCTGTGGGAGTTTGGGCTGCAGGAGGCTCATCCCATCGCCGTGCGAGGTGGCAGGAGCAGAGGTGGGAAGGGGACATGGCCAGGATGGGTGAGGAGCATCTCCTCACTCGGGAGGTGCATGGAGGTGGACACTGGCTCTCCTCGAGCAAGGTCCCGATCCCTGCTGAGGAGTGACCCGCTGGCTCCAGAGCAGCCCCGCGGCCAGGGGAGCGGGCAGGGCTCAGCAGGACATGGGCAGGGGCTGGATCCATGGGGACACGTCTGTGTGGGGAGTGTGAGTGGTTCTTGGAGGCCATCGGGCAGAGGTTTGCTGAGCCAGGGGAGCTGCAGGGCTGCACAGGAACAGACCTTTTGCATCCTGAAATCCCATCCCCAGCTACTGCAGGTGTTACATCATGCTCCAGAAGAGCTACGGGTTTCTTGCAAGCTTTCCACGTCTCCTCATCTCCTCCTCTGCATCTCCTGGAGGTTTCAGAAGAGTCCAAAGTGCTCCAGATCCATGGCAGGGACCAAGAATGGCTGTGAACTAGTAGAGATGGGCACCAGGGGAGGAGGACCAAACGCCATGGTTCCTGACGTGCCTCTGGGACAAAGAACTCTCATTTTCCTGTCCTCTCTTTTAGGAGAGTGCAGCTGCCACGAAGGCTATGCCCCAGACCCCGTCCATCGCCACTTGTGTGTGCGCAGCGACTGGGGACACAGCGAAGGGTGAGTGGTGATATGATGGTGTGTTTGCTTTGTGCAGGCTCTCACGTTGGTGAGGAGCCCGGTTCTCCTCCCCACCGGCCATCACCAGCACCAAAGACCCGGGAGCGGGCTGTGGTGCTTTCCCTGCCACGTGACGTGCCACAGCTGCTCTCTCCCTCTCTGCCCCCCAGGCCGTGGCCCTACACGCCGCTTGAGCGGGGTTGGTCACAGGAGAGCAGGCGCCAGAGAAGATACTCAGGTGAGTGAAAGGAATGTTCAGCTTGGATATTTGGGAGGGGAGAGATGGTGAGGACATCCCAGCAGATGCTACCTCTTGGTCACTCCTGTCTCCGTCTTGTCCTGCTGCCTGGGGGACACTAGTGTCATTTGCCTTTGGTAGACCTGAAAGATTTGTCCATATTCCTCAGCCAGGGAAGGGTTTCCCTTTCACCCTCTTGGTTGAACCCTGCTCAGCAACAGCAAGGATGGTGCACGCATAAAGTCTTCCTGGACTAAAAAGAAGAGCGTGACCATCCCCACGTTCTCCCTGTCACATCTCTACCTATTCCTCTCTCATTTGGCTTTCAGGACAAGACCAAATGACTAACTTATCCAATGGTGCCACCACTGCTCTGACTTTCAAGTGGTCAGGTGCAGTAGAAGGCCACCACTCGCTGTGGACGCTGTGTTCTTGTATGACACGTTTGTCCTTATTCCAGGTCCACCTATAGTTTGGGTCAAGGTTTGTGGCTGCCTGTCAGTAAGAGTTTTGTGGTGCCCCCTGTGGAGCTTTCCATCAATCCTCTCGCCAGCTGTAAGACAGATGTTCTGGTGACGGAAGATCCGGCAGATGTCAGGTAGGAAGCAGATTTCTCATTTTCCTCATGCTTGAGTGACTACGCTGCTCTTTAAATTGTTATTGAGGATGCGGCAATTTCGATGATGATAAGTTTGATTAATTTTCTTCTAATAAGAAATCTGATGTGATAGCTCTCCAGGCGTTTTGGTCCTGATGGGTCTCGGCCAGGCTTGTGTGTATAGCTCTGATGTCTGCCAATCCAGTCAGGTAAATTGGTATGAACCTGTGGCAAGGCAATTTCAGAGTGGCTTAAATCTAGTGTTAGATTGTATAGCTTAAATTGATGCATTTACCAGTGCGGAGGTGCTATCATGTTTCAGAAACTCATACATATATCACATCCTCCCAACCCTTGATAGTCTTCTATGGTGCTCGTCAAGTGCCAAGGTCAGACCCTGGTGAACGGCCACCTTGCTTGTTCAATTATGATACAAACTAGAGGGTTTTTTTCCTTCCTCGAATTCAGTATGCGCCCGGATATTTCTCTGGCTCCCCCATTTTGGCTAGCGTGTATTTCAACCAGATGTCACTGGATTCATGACCGTCGGGTTCAAAAGTGGGACCTAAGAGGGCGTTGCAGGAGGAGAATTGCCCTGGTGGAAGGGGAAGTTGTTTGCTGGGAGACTGGGCTGAGGGTGGGCAAAGGGGGGTCCCTTGGAAAAGGGGCCGGGCGATACGGTTGTCCTCTGTGACCCGGCTGGAAAGGGAACAGCAGCCGCTGCCTCGGAGGACAGCAGTGGCGGTGATTGTCCTCCTCTGCCTGGCGAACTGTAAACTACGAGGGTTTAACTGTTTAATTCCTGAGGTATTTAGGATGTGTTCCCCTCTCCTCCATTAAATTAAGGTTGAGCCTCTGCTCGTTGGGTGTCAGGGAGTCTCTGCGATGCCTCCCTTCTTTCTCGCTGCCTTCTCCTGTTGACACAATTTCCTGACCTGCAAATTCTTGTCTGTGTTGTGAATCATCTTCCTGGGCACCGGCAGGATCCTTGTATCTCCCAGCCCCTTCTGTCTTGTCTTTTCCCAGAGCAATGGGATGGTGGATTTCCATTTTTCTGTCCCATCGTTATGAGTTTTGGCAGGGCTATGGTTGAAGCAAGCGCCTACAAAACCTACGGCAGATCCAGGACTGGTATCCAAGAAGTCCTCACTTCCAAGTGCATTTTTGTTGCTAATTAGCGCTTGTTCTCTCTTCTGCAAAAAGAGGCTGATGGTACATATTTATCACAATTTGGCTCTCTTAGGAGCGTTGTTTTTCTTGCCTGCAGAAGACTGCCGCTTTTCATTTGAGAAGGTGAAGGGTCGCGTTGTTGTACGTTAACATTTTCCAAGTCAAAATGCCAGGAGGACATGATTTCTTTCTTGCCTCTTCACATCTTCGTTAAAAGTACCTCAGCGAAAGCAGAGGCTAGGAAGCTCGCTTTCTGCTCCAGTGCAGTAATTGTCTCCGGGCACTGATCCTTGTGGAAGTGTCTCGGGATGGATGAAGGCCAGGCAGGAGGAGGAGGGTTTCTGGCCCAGAGGCTGTTGCCTGCTCTCCTTGGAAATGAAACCTGAACTGAGAATTCCAGGTATGAATATTGGAGTGACCCAGGTACAATAAGGGAGGCGAGTTCACGGTGCTTGTATCTTACATACAGGAGATGCTAAATTATTAAAACTTTAATAAACGTAATAATAAATATTTGATGTTGAATTATGGAAGGTTTCAGAGATACAGTGAAAACCAAAAAACGATCTATTATTTCTGCATTAGAACTTAAACACTGCTCAAACGGGGATCAGGCTTCTAGCTCGGGGTCCCGAGCACCCTGGGGTGGGTGGAATCCGAGGGGATACTGCCTGAGCGGAGAGTGATGGTGTGGAGGAGCTAATGCTGGGGCCGGGCTGGTCCACCAGCATCAGTGAGTCGGGATGTTGCTGTGTTGGTGCTCATGGGCATCACGTTGGCCAGTCTCCGAGAACCACCTCTGAGGTTCTTGGGTGCTTTCACACGTTGAGAAAAGTACTTTTAGAGCTGTTTATCTTGCAGCCTCTTTGCTTTGTCTCTCTGGACTGGAACAAGTGTTGGTAGCTTCTCAAGGGAGCAGTGATGCAGTAGGTTTAGTGGTTCCGGTGTCTGGAGGATGACCCGTAGTGTCAGACCAACCATCAGAGGAGAACATCTGCTGTCCATTGTGTGGGTGTTCAAACATAGCCATCCCTCTGCACAGGGAGGGTACCTGTTCCCTGGGCTGCAGGACCGCGGTGGCACTGCTGTCCCTCATAGAATCATAGAATGGTTTCTCTCCATGCTGGCAGCTCCTGCGGGTGGTCCTGCAGCACCTGAGCTCTAATACAGTCACGTCCCTGTGCCAAGGGGCAGATCCTGGGCTGTATTACACCCGCAGCAACACGGCCGCATCTCAGCACCCGGAGTGATATGTTCGCGGTCCTGTAACGCTGTGGTGGTAGCTCAGCCCTGTATTTCTTCTGTGTCTTTAATAACGAGCGTGCTGCATTCCTCCAGACCTTTCATTAGTCTGACACCTTTTGGCTCTGGGGTCGCTTGTCTTGAAGAGTTTAATGGAGGGAAATTGCAGAAAGCCTGCTTTGGAGAAAACAAGTGATGAAGTCGTTACGACTCCCGGGGTTAAAGGTTCAAACGTGGCCTTGTGTTTTTATGAAGATGCTTGAGGCTGCGGAAGGGACAGGTGGGGCTCTGCCTTTCAGCAGCTCTCTGGAGAAACGCTGACTCCCCGCTGCCTCTCCAGAGGGATGCTCTTCTCCGTGTGTTTTGCTGCTGAGGGCTTTGGTGGATGGGGATGGAGGGCTCCAGCCTCCTCCCGCTGCTGCAGCCAATTCGTTAGAGAAAATTCCTACAGACAGGAGCCAAAAGGTCTCCCTGCAAACATCCCACCAGGGATGCTCCGGTGGGCGCTGCGGCACGAGTGGGGAGAGATGCAGAACTCGGTGGTGGAGGTTTTAGGGCTGTGCATCATAAATGAAGCACGAGGGTGCTTAGAGTTAATGAAACTTTATAGGTATAATTTGTCAGTAACCACATTGAGCATCCCCTCCTCGGCCCCGGAGTCTGATCCTCCGCACAATGATCGCATCGGTCACACGTCTGGGACCCTGGCAGCCACACTAACGGCTATGTCTTTGCTGGTGTGAGGATGGCCAGCGGTGCTGCGGGGCTCTCCCCGCACTGGGAAGCCTCTGGTCCCAGGGTGGGCAGGCTGCCCCAGCGGCGCATCCCCTGCCCGGACGAGAAACGCCTCCCGGTCCCACCTCATCTCACTCGTTTTCAAGACCTGTCTTTGTGCCCCTCTCCCCATTGCTCCCATCCCTCTCTCTATTCCTATTTCTCCCATAACCTGGTGTTATATAGTAGCCTGTATTCACAGTCATCCATATTCATTTCAATAAATTGCTATCAGGTGTTCAATCCTTCTGCTGGCCTTCCCTGGACATCTCGCCAGCTGTTTTTTAGCCCTTTAGGAGGTACCACTTGTCCTGGGGGTCCAGGAATCGCTATCATTGCGACAGCGTACACTGTTCTGCCCCATCGGCAGCTCCCGGGGAGGATCTGCACCCGCTGCCCCTGGGTCCCACAATAAAATCATCCCTTGGGGCGCAGCCGGCTGCGGGGGACCAAGAGGGGAGATAACCCGGGGACAGAGCACAGCACTGGCAAACGCGTGGTGGTCCTGGTTCATCGTGCCACCTGCTCTGCAGAAAAGTTGATAATTTTTGATGAGTGACTATAAATCAGAGGCGCGAGCCTCAGCTGCCGCCTGACATGACATATAGCTCTATCGTTATGGCAACCATAGAAACAAATAAAATCCTTTGCCTTCACTTGACAAGCCTTTGAGATGTCCTGATGGAGAGACAAGTGTTCAGCGGCAGAATGAATTCTCTTGAACTCACTGTCGATTCATCTTCGTTTTGCTCCCAAGTGAGCCCCTTTGCTCTCTGAATTCTTTGCCAAAGTACAATCAACTGGATATATTTTTTTTTTATTTTATTTTATTTGTTTGTTATTTTATTTTCGTTTCTCTCGGCAGCGGCAGAGAGCTCTGCTCCCCAGCTCTGCGCCCGCATGCATCCCGTCTCACGTTGAGGATGGGAGCTGGGCTTTTTGCTCCCTGCCGGTGGCTTTCCCTGCCTCAGCCCTGCCGTGCTCTTGCGACACTGCCACTGCCCCCAGGCTTACAGGCGTTTTGCAGTGATTTTTTGCAGGGGTTTTGCAGTGATTTCAGCACTTTTGATTTCGCAAGGCAGTGCCAAGCGCTGGGGTGTGGGGCTGCCTGGGAGCGGAGGAGGATGAGAAGCGAAGTGGATGAGAAAGGCAAAGGGAATCTGGGCCGGGAGAGGGGAAAGAGCTTTGCCGTGGCCACGCCGTCACAGCAGCAGAGCCTGTCTGCCCCACGACTTCGCCTCACACCTTATTTGAGGGAGCACAGGAAAATGTGTGCTGCTGCAGGTGAGCACCACTGAGGCTCAGGAGGTGGGCTGGGCCATTCCCCGCGGGCAGGAGAGGGCAGAGGGCACCTTGCCAGCTCTTCTTGCCATTTGGTGCAGGAGATGCCGTGGCAACTTGGTCTTTTTTTCCCCTTTTTCTACCTCCTGGAACAGAGCTGGCTGTGATTTTTGGATACTTGATGCTGGAGGGACCCTCAGCCAGGAGGCTGGGGGAGAGGGGAAAGCCTGTTTTCGGGGTGTTCCTCAGCGGGGAGCTGCCTGCGGAGGCTTTTGCTCCGTTGGTGCCAATAAAACGGCCGTGAGCAGCTATCAGCAGGTGCCTGTGATGAATGGACGGCTTCACATGATGGAGCAAATTGATCATTGCATCACCAGGCACAACTTACTCATTTCTGCAAAGAGGGCAATTCATTACCGTGCACATCACAGAGACACCGTCATTCCCGCAGATAACGGCCCTGCCGCTCTGGCCTGGGCTTCTTATCACCCCAACACGCCGTCGTCTCGCAAAAAGTGGTGGAGAAGCAGCTT